TATGCTAATAATGCAGTGTCGTCCTCCTTGTGAAGTACTTTGCTTAGAGCAAGCAGTCAGAACCCTGCTCAGCTCCCGCCCACTGTCCTGTGCTAGAGGCAGCCAGCATTCATCTGTCTGCCCACATCACGGTGGAAAGGCTGATGCCCACTCACGTCCAGGCCCACAGCCAGGGAACTAGAGTCCCATCATCAGCTGTTTCAGGGAAAGGCTAGAGCTTTTGTGCTCCATGAGATTTTCGTGTAGCCATTGCCCTGCTGCTTCTGACAATCAGAAAGTTCACATCTTCCTGAAGGGCTAAAGGTGTAAGGAAAGTGGGAAGGGTAGGGGAAAGGGAATAAGGGAAAAGAAAACAATATGAGAAAATGAAAAATTGGAAATAAAGTGTTTGTAAATGGGGAGGGGAGGAGGGGGTGAAGGGAAGGTAGGGACAAGGGGAAAAAATGAGAACCAAGACCTGTCATGTAAAGGTACAAGATCCCAATAATGAATGTAACTGTACTGTATACCTAAAATGTACCAATATAAATGTACTCAATAAAAAGAAAAAAGAAAGTTCACATCTTCCTGAGGGATAAGGGCTGTGAGGAAGACCTGGGTTCAAGACTTTGGAGCAGAATGCACCAATTATTTTGATGAGTATGTTGAAGACCAAGTAAGAAAATCAATTGTGTTCGCTAGGTGGACTTTTAGGATGGGGGAGGGTTTGTTTTCAATTAATTAATTGATCATTAATATGAACAGACTAGTCTTTTAGCCCAAAGCACCAAATTAGGTTTGTCTTCCAACACACAGGCCAACCTCTCTGGGCCCCAGCATAACAATAAGGAATTCGACATGTAATAAAAGGGAAAGATAGCATAATGTAGAATGCTACCATGTGTTCAGCTGCCTCTGGGTCATTTATAAAGAATGAGAAAGAGTGTGTATGAAAGAGACTCAGAAATAATTCATTCACCTCATTGCAACCTATACTTGGTATCTCTTTTCCCATCAAACCTCAAACAAAAAAATCATCAGATGGTAGCCAAGGGGACTGGTTTGATGATTAACTTATTTGCCTTTCTGTCTCTTTCCCTGGTAAGTGTCCTAATGAACAGTCAAAATCCCACTTGGAAGGAGGCAAGGGAAAAAAAAAATAAAGAGAGGATTAGCAAAGAGCATGGGTGACACAGGAATTGTATAATCACGCCTGCAAATAACTGAGAGTCAACAACACATGAACTTTAGGCAGCAGCCAAGGGAGGGTTTCGAGGAAGAAAGCCAAGGTGAGAGAGAGGCAGGGCCACAGCTGGGATCCACTTCTTCACTTGGGAAACAGAACTCCCTCCGTGCGCCTCAGTATGGGGCTCCTGAGCTGTCATCACTGGCTGTGCAGCCTCAGCAGGCTGACTCTGAGTTCAAGGCCAGCTCCTGAGCTGGGCTTTAGGATGGGGCCAATTTGTTGAGTTGTTTCAATGCTTTGATGTGTAAACTAATCATCCGTCATTGTGCTCTAATGAAGCCTAAGTGGCACAATGGATTTGCTGTCATAGAGGCCAGGGCCCCTCCTGGATTGGCGGAGGGACGGACGGGTGGTGTCTGCTGAAAGCAGCCCAACCCCAGGAGAGCAGAGAGCAGGGAAATGCCAGATGTGGATATGAGAGGCACTGGCAACACTGACTGGGTCCAGGAAGATAGAGAAAATGGGACACACTGGCAACCTGGGCGGGTCTGTGAGCCTCTGATTTCCAGGGCGCTCTCACCCTCAGCATGAGCGTCTAGACATAACAAGCTCAGGTCAAGTGGGTAACCACACAGTGACCTGACTGTTTGCCATGGTAACACATCTCTCAGGGGCCAGCTGACCCAGTTTTACAAGGTGAATGGATGATTACCTGACAGAAATATTCGGGGATGGGGGAAAAGCTTCCGAAGTCGAGAAAATATTGATCTTCAAGACTGCTTTCTCCCCCATGCCTAGATATTTGCGTTCTTGGTTAGAAGAAGTGAGCCTGGAATTGTGAGGAAGAGAGTGCATCCTCCTGACAAAGGACAGTCCGAGGAAAGAGGGAGAAGATGGTGGTGGTCCAACGTGGGACCCCGGCCTGGCTCCATACATCACCGAAGCGCAGGGATGGGGATGTCTGTGTCTTGGGCTGCACCAACTTACTTTTTGTTAATTTGGAAAATGCTGATTTATTTATGCTTTCACCTCAAAATAATCAATAAACCCCACTCCATAGACACAAGGTAACGGCATAATGAAAATGAAAAAGCTTTTTTTCCCACCCCTGCATTCATTCAGTAACTACTGAATTGATTGAACACCTGGGTACAGGGCATGCTAGTACAGCAAGGTTGTGTAAGATCTTTTCCAGGAAAAAACTCACAGTCTAAAGGGAAGATAAGATGACCACACCTGTTTTAATGGTTGCAAGTACAGTCCTACCTTGGTATCCTCCACAGATACCAAAATCTATGGATGCTCAGGCCTTTTATATAAAATGATGTATAACATACACACATCCTTCAGTATACTTTAAATTACCTCTAGATTATTGATAGCACCTAATTCAATGCAAGTCTATGTACATAGTTGTTACACTATATTGTTTAGGAAATAATGACAAGAAAAAAATATGTACATGTTTAGTATGGATATAATTGGTTTCTGAATATTTTCCATACAGCCTGTGGACTCCAAGGATGTGGAACATGGAGATACAGAGGCCAACTGAGATTCAATAATAAGTGTACAACAGAAAGAAAAGATAGGTCAAGCATATCATATGGAACTGTCCAGACATCTACAAAGGCAGTTTAAGAAAAGAGACACTGACGTTTACTGATAATCTTTTTAAATGTCAGATACTGTGCTAGGTATTATCACTAATGTTATCTTATTCAGTACTCACAACCAACCCACATGGTGAATATTAGCATTCCTAGTCTATAAATGAGAAAGCTAAGATAAAAGTATCCCTAATAGATACCATACAAAGCTGGGTGTGATAGTGCATGCCTGTAATCCCAGCTACTGAGGAGGCTGAGGCAAGAAGATTGCAAGTTCAAGGCCAGACTTGGTCATTTAGTGAGACCCTGTCTCAATTTTTTTTAAAAAGGGGCTGGGTCTGGGTATGGTGGCACACACCTATAATTCCAGCACTCAGGAGGCCCAGGCAGAAAGATCACAAGTTGGAGGCCAGCCTGGGCTACACAGTGAGTTCCAGGGCAGCCTGGAATACTGTCTTTTGAAAAAAGGCCAAGGGATGTAGCTCAGCAGTTCAGGCCTTGCTTGCCTACAAGGACCTGGGTTTACTCCCTATTACCGCTATCAATCAATCAATCAACCGATCAACATCATATAAAAGTGTGACAGATACTATTTTTTCTCTTTCCAACCCACATTCCCCCATGTGCTCTCTCTCCCTCTCTGGTAACAGAAATTTTTGCTTTAGACAGTTAACTAGATAAAATTTATCTTTTCTAGTCTCCCATGTAGCTTGATTTGGCCACATAATTAGGTACTGATGAGGGGATGCCCATAGATACGATGGGAGCGACTGCCATGTGTATTTTTAAAAGGAAGGCAGCCTGTCTTCCCTTTCCTTTTCCTGCTTCCTCCTGGCTCCAACACAAATGTGGTGTGAGTCACTTCAACTTTGCAACTGAAGGCAGTTTACTAAGGATGGCTGAGCAACTGGATAGCAGGTTCTTTGTGTGTGTGTGTGTGTGTGTGTGTGTGTGTGTGTGCTGGGGATTGAACTCAGGTCCTTGAGCTTGCAAGGCAGGCAGCAACACCACTGAGCTAAATGTCTGGCCCTTGCAGGTTCTTGAATATTTCATAACTAGGTGATTTTCCACCCTATTTGTTTGGATTGAGTCTATTTACTTTTACATGGAAGCAATATAGGATTTTTTTTTAAATCACTAACACATTGACTCTGTTTCAAGTATCTGTGTCAATCAGCATAAAGGAAAGTGTACAAACCAACTAACTTCATAAAACAGAGGACGCAGAGAAGAAGAGAGATGGAAAAGGACACCTATTTCAGCCTACAGATGTTATGCATTTAACCCAGGCTTGGAAAAAATAGTTTGGATTTTAGTGGTGATAATAGGAGATAGAAAAGAGTGGAGATAAATACCTAGATTGTGACCTGGAAGATTTTCTTTTCTCTCCAAGTCCAAGCCCTGCTTGCATGCACAGTTTAAAGTCGCACCTTCTCTGAAGGCCTCTGCAAAGACTCCTGACCATGACTGGAGGGTCACCTGCAGTGACATGTGAGTTCACAACACCCTGGCAGCATTTAACCAGCCACGTGAGGTCACAGGTCAGGTACATTTGTACAATTGTCTCCCCTCTCCACTTAGGCCCCTCAAGGGCCAGCGCGATGCTTTATGAAATTCTGCACACCTTGCTCTGCACCTGCTAAGAGCCTGGACTGAGGAGTGCAGAGCAATGTAGAGAATTTGCACTCTGGACTAAGGCTGCAGGGACTCAACCTTTAGCCTTTTATTTGCTTATTCTCTGAACCTAGCTGTCCTGCCTGAAAATAGGAATAGTAGAAGAAATCCAGAATAATTGTTGCAGTTACTATTAAAATAACTTCTGTAAAAGTACCTAGCAGAGTGTTTGGCACAATGAGCACTTCTTTTTCTTTATAAAATAAATATTTGTCCAAAAAATAACTCTGCACATTAGATCATTTATTAGAAACTGTAACACATGAATTCTCCACTCATTCCCTGCCTACTAAGGAGTTTGTAAGATTCCAGCAGATGCAGCTTAAAGTCAACTAATGTAAGTGTTCTGTTCATTACTGGTGCTAATCAAAGGAGATGCGTGTTGCGTGTGTGAGAGACAGAGAGAGTTTGCCTGTCGTTTCTGGAGCTCATTTACAAAATTGGCTATTTATTAATCCTTTAAGACTTGCCAGATTGAGTCTACAGAGCAAAGATTGTTGTCAGCAACCCAAACTGGGAAAATAGATCATCTGTGTCCTGGATACCTCCTAATGACATGTTTGCACAGAAAGGAGAGAAGGCATAGTGTTTGCATGGCCTATCATGAGTCTTTTTGAGGGGGCAGGGTACCGGGGATCAAACTCGGGACCTTGCGCTTGTGAGGCAGGCAGCAGCACCACTGAGCTAAGACCCCTGGCCCCATGACCTTCTGATATGCCCGCACACACACACATACACGCACGCACGCTCTGTCCTTTGGGAGTTGTCCTTAAAGGGTTAGTTTTACTTCCCCTCCCTTTGCCTGGCATTCTAATTTCCAAAGAAAAGCTGCGCCTAAATGCACCTACATGATGAAGATGTTAACTGCTATATAATCTTCTTCTAGATTTATAGAACCTAGAACATCTGGTGTCCCTCAGATGACATCAGAATGTGTAATGCCCCTCCTTATTTTAGTCTGGGGCATCACCTAACGCAAAGCATGGACATTGCTGTGAGAACACGTCCTGAAGGAAGAAGACCCAGCTCAGTATGTAGCCTCCCTGCCTGTTGCCACCATACCTCCTTTCTGTCCCTGTAAAAGCTCTTTCGTGAATCTGAGATCCCTAAAATGGTCGGTTTGTTTTATTTTGTTGTTTTCTGTTTTAGGTGTGATAGTTCCACCCCACCTCATCTCCTCACAGTGCCAGCTCTTAAATAAACCTGATCTGCGTCCTACCAACTGTCCTGATTGCTGGCTTTTGAGTGGTGAGTAGACAGACTTGAGTCTGATGTCACCCCCTCCCAGAAAAAGCTTGTTCCTGCCCTGGTCTCTCCTATGCCAGTCAATGGCACCACCGTCTCACAGTTACCAAAACCAGCAACCCAGGAGCTGACCTTGATTCTCCATTCTCCTCTGGTCCAAATCTTTCAGCGAGTTCTACCAATTCTATCCCCAAGCTGTCTCTTGGATCCAGCCCTTACTCTCATCTGTCATTTACAGCTTTGCTATTCACAGGGTGATCTGGAGTTTAGCAGCAACTGCATCCCCTAGGAGCAGCATGGAGATTCAGTCTCAGGTCCAGTCCCAGACCTTGAAGTAGGGCATCAGAATCTGCAGTGTAACAAGATCCCCAACTGATTCATACGTATATGAAAGCATGGTGTGCATAGAATTTTGTGGCAGCCCCCTAACTAGTTTTTCTCCTAGAGCTGGTTCATTCTAACCCACCCGTCTGGGACCAGTTGCCTTCTTGGTTTGAGAATTCCACAACACTCAGATGGTATAATGTTTTTACTCCACCCTTCCACACAGCACAGGATTATGGTTCTAACTTCTTACAGATTTGTTTTTCAACAAGGCTCTTTGAGTTGGTGAGGGAAATTATTCTAAGTTATTTCCTTTTGGAATGTGAGACCTCTTTCAGTGTCTTGCATTCGTAAAATGATTTCCTAAGTCCAAGCTTCAAGCTTCCTTTTTAAGTGAGCCCAAGCTTAGCCCCATCCCCTGTCCCCACACAGGCATGAACTTATCAACCTTTGTCCGTGAGGGCTTGTGTCCTGGACCCTTCCTCCAACCCCACTCCCACCTCCCAGCAGCCATAGAATCCACTCAGTTCTTGCTTTTCAACTTCTTAGTCTGTGGCCCAAGATTATTTACCTTTATTTTCAACAAACTTGTACACATAGTTCAGTTCAATTTAATTGGGTTTTTTTTTTCATTTAAAAAAAAATTCTGTATTTATTTTACTTATTTTGTGGCGTTGGAGATTGAACCCAAGGCCTTTGTACTGAGCTTCATTCTTGAATATTTTTATTTTTTATTTTTAGACCACATTTCACTAAATTACTAAGGTGCTTAGGCTGGGCTTGAACTTGTGACCCTCTGGCCCAGCCTCCCAGTGTGCTGGGATTATAGACACATCCAGTTTAGCTTTAAATTTCAAATGAAAGTCATTTCTATGTGTTTCTGGTAGACTAGGAGATGGGAAAGTGGTCCCTATCAGTCCAATTTATCCTATTACCAGCCATATTTAAAAACTGAATTCAGGAAGGCCTGGGATTTAGCTCAGTCGTGCTGTGCTAAGTGCAAGTGCAAGGTTCTGAATTCTATCCCTGGTACAAAAAAAACCAAAAAAACAAAAATTGAATTCAGGGCTGAGTTTGTAGTTCAGTGGTAGAGAGTCTTGCCTAGCATACACAGGCCCTGGGTTTGACTTGCATGGATACACACAAAAAGACAAGCCAACTGAGATCAGATCCTGTTACTTTCTTGTTTAAAATGGGTCAATAACTTCTTCAGGTTTAGGACAAAATCCAGAATCTGAGCAGGCACCTGGAATCCGAGGCACATCGCTCCCAGGTCAAATGCTTCCCAGCTTCAGGGAGCTGTCTGGAAGCTCGGACCTTCTCTACCCTTGGCTTGCTCCTCTTGTCCTTCAAATTCTGGCCCAAATGTCTTCTCCTTGCATAGCACCCCACCCAGTCACACTCTGTCACCTGATTTATTTTCTGAGTAGTTGCTCATCTCCACCTAGAATTATCTTATATGCTTGGCTAGCTGCTTGTTGCGCATTTCCCTCTCTGGTTCCACATTCCAGGAGGTCACAGACCCTGCAGGCATCTGGTAGGTACTCCTGTTTGAGAGTCTAACACTGTGGTGTCCTTTACCGCCGTCACTAACCCCGTAGGGCTTACGAGCAGGGGCCATGATGAATTCAAAATGAGCTTGCACTTGGCAGCAAATGCACACAGGATTTCAATATGAGAAAAGGATTTTAATATGAAGGAAAAAAAGAACTAAAATGCCTCATTGGTAGATTTTTATATTGCTTACATGTTGAAATGATAAATATATTGGGTTACTGTGTTAAATTGAGGATATGTTTTAAATTAATTTACCTTCTGAAAATATAGCTACTCAGTCATTTTTTTTTTTTTGTATTGGGAATTGAACCCAGAGCCTTTGCACGAACTACATCACCAGCCCTTTACTTATTTATTTTTATATGGGGCAGGGTCTCCCTAACTCACTAAAAGTTGCCCATTTGGGACCTGAATTTGCAATTTCCCTGCCTCAGCCTCCCAAGTGCTGGGATTACAGGCAAGCCATCACTGTACCTGGTTTACTAGGGAGTTTTGAATGATATATGTGGCTCCCTTTATGTAGTTGTATTGGACATGGCCAGTCTAAAGGATGAAATACTGTACCTAGAAGCCAAAGTGATCTCGGGTAGTTGTATTGGACATGGCCAGTCTAAAGGATGAAATACTGTACCTAGAAGCCAAAGTGATCTCGGGCATTATCAGAACTCACCTCCCATTTCCATTTGTTCTGGTGTACCAGGAGGCCTGGGAAAGACTAGTGATTTGGAAAGCAATTCATTCAGCTCTGAGCGACAAGTGAGTTCATTCCCAGCTGTGTTGAGGGATGGCCAATCTCACTGGGGAAAAACAAACAGCCGGGATCAGGCTTTGTTCTTACGGGATTCCTAAGTGCTGACGATACCCCTGCTGGGTCCAGCCTGGGGGGAAACAGTGGGGAACTGAATGACAGCCATTAAGGAAGTGGAATTGAACGTCTCAGATCAGACATCGAGGCACAGTCTGTGTCAAGCAGGTCTCAGACTTTGTGAGTTCTCCAGCTACGAGGGAGCCTTGCCTGGAGGACCTCTGTTGTGGTGATTAGATGACAGTCTCCGATCCTATTAATAGTGCTCTGGAATCAGAATCTTAAAAGCACGTTACTGTGTACTGCTTGCCATTTATTGGGCTGATTAGTCCGACATCCTCTCTCAGTTGTCTCGCATGTAAGACAGTGATAATAACCACGCCTACCTCGCTGAGTTGTAAAGATGAGGCCTATCAAGTACTTCACGTAGAACAGTATCCAGCACACAGCAGTTGATGGAAATTCGTGGCTCTCATTACTGCTATTTGTTTTGCATGGAACATTCATATAAAAAAGAGCCCCTTCTACAGCTAAAAATTTTAAGCTGAGATATGTACTCCTTATCACCTCACAAATTCTCTGAGCCATTTCTGGGTACTGGCGACAGATGCATCCTGAATTACTTTGCAGAAAGAGATCCAATCTAAGAAGCTTTTACTGCTATCTACAGTGCTCTTTCATTTCTTTGGCTATCGACCATTTATTTCCCCTTCCTCAAAGTACCCCGATTTCCTCTGGGGAAATAAAGCACCCTTCCTTTTCTGTGGGCAGTCAATCTTGGCACCCCTCCTTGTATAAGCCCAGCTTCCCTCTGTGTCTGGGTACGGGCCCAGGAAGCCCACAGGGCACATGTTTCTATGAGCTGCCTTGCCTTACCAATATTTTTAGGATATTTTCCTTCAGATGAAGAACCACACGTCCAGAGAGGTCACATAAATTACTCAAGGTCACACAGCAAGCACGTGGTAAGCCAGGGGTCAGGTTATTGCCCCTCTGTATCAGACTGTAACTGAGTGGTTTCCAGGACATGTAATCCTAGGAGAATGCCTTCCAAAAGACCAACAGTTAAAATCTTAAGATAAAGTGCACCCTGCCTTGTCACTTTAAGGAAAATTCCACTCGGCCCCACAAACAGCCAGATTTAGCTGCCGGCATATTTTAGAAAAATATTTTAGGATAGAATATCACACCCCCACCACACTCCGCCCTCCACTGCCACTGTGTCCCCATGATGATAAAAAGCCAACACCTTTCCATCACAGAAGCCTTGGCAGAGGCCTCTCCCCACACAAACAGAATAATTCCTCCTGCCCACTTCCATCGGGCGCATCAGGCAACCAACAAACTTTCCAAAGAAACAAAGAAACGGTGGAGTCGGAAGTAAAGTCACGTGTTAACTGATTTTCCGGGAATGGATGACTGTATAATACCCTAATCAAAAAGTTGAATCACATTTGCATTTAGATAAAGCCTTGTTAGGAAAGAGATGGGAGTGAAAGGAGGCTCTGAGACTCTGGGTCTGCTCTGGAGCCCAGCCCAGCCCAGCCATCACTGACAAGCACAGCAGCCAGAGAGGACATCCCCTGTCAGTTCCCATACCAATTTGCAGTTAGCTGAAATACCCTCCCGGAGTAGGTATCTTTTTCCTTTTCTAGAGTGTTCCTAATCAAGATCAGCCTGGACTACACAGCGAGAGCTTGTCTCAAAAAAAAAAAAAAGAGTCCACTTGAGATCAGGGGTTTAGGTTAGAACTCAGATGCCAAGTACATGCAGGGCCCTGCGTTCGAGCTCCAGCGCTGATCCCCCCCCACCCCCCACCCCCCGCAAAATGAAGTGTGCTGGGAATTTAGTAAACTTAACTGCCATGTAAGATGTTTAAAATCAAAGGCTAAGGAGTTTAACTGTGTCTTCTTTTATCTGGGTTGAAGACAATTCTAATGCATAGGTGTCAGGTACCCCAGAGGCTTTTTCCCTGGGAAACAAAAATCGCACCCCAGGCCATGCCTGGGGAAAACTGTGAAGTATAAAATCTCTTCTTGGTGGAGCTTAACGTTTTTCTCCCTCTCTTCTTACTCCTCCTCAACATTTCTATATTTCCATATGGAGTGGTGGGGACTCATATTCCAGACAGGCATGACCCTAGAGCCAGAGGATTAACTTGCTGGTATTTGAATGATACCTACTGGCTATGCCCTGGGGTTTGGCCATCTCCCTTGTCTTTATCTGTCAATGTCAGCATCAAATTAGGGAGAGAAACAAAATAGGACAAGCCAAGGTCAGCTTTTCTGGGAGTTATGCCAGGCTGGCAAGATGAGGCAGACAGCACAGGGTGCCGGCAGGAGATCATGACCGAGTCAGATGGCAAAAAGGGTACACAAGGCCCAAGAGGGTGCTTTGGAGTCCAAAGACTGTGCTAAGGTCAGAGGTTGTGGAGCTAAATTGGAGTCACTGTACATAAATTCAAACTGGGCAGGAAGGGTGTGGTCTGAGCGTGGGCTACACAAGACAGAAACAGAGTTAACATGCAACTGTTTCCCAGGCCTGGGGATGGAGGGAAAACTGGACCATGTGACTTGTAACCCTACACCTTTCTATGGTTCCCAACCCTGGTGACTCCTGCAGAGCCACAGAGCCCTGCAAGTCACTCTTATCCTGTCTTCCAGTCATTTCCAGGAGTTGAGATGGATTTTCAAGGGGTGGGCTCTCAAGTGCTATGGGGACAAGACCCCCTTGTTGTCCCTCTCCAGGTTCCTTTCTGCAGGATGACCTGCTGAAACCTCATGCCTCATAGGAGCAAGTGCAAGCTTCTGCACCGCCTACCTCCCATGCACTCAGGCAGCCAAGGGTCCCCATCCTGGACAGCTTCGGTCCCCTCTGCAGTGCTGGCCATGGCTCCTGGGTCTTCCCACTGCAGCCACCTGT